GCGGCGCCTGTGGGCGAGCCCTTCCTCTGGATCTCGGTTTACTCCTCTGAACCTTGGGGAGGCGGGACCAAACGCGCCCGAAGTCCTTCCCAGGGCAGGCTGCGGAAGGGGAGGCAGCGACCTGGTGGCTGGTGTGGGGGGTGATGATGCCTGGAGTGAGATGGGAGCCAACCTACTGAATAAATCGAAACCGTTATTTAAGTGGGTCGTGAGTTTAGATTGGGGACAGGTGTTGAAGAAGAGGGTGAGCAGTTTTGCGTGGTTAAGCGTATCCGTTTCGGAGTGTGGGTTCCAGGCTGACTGTGAGACCCTGGGCAAGCACTTAACCTCTCTGGACAAAAGCTGCACCCCTTGGTTTTAAAAGGGAGGAGAGAGTAGTAGATCATAAAAAAATATTTGAATAGCAAAGTGCCTGGAATATAGAAAGTGCTCAATAAACAATAGCTGCTTTGACTACTATCAAATTGGTACCAACACTAATACGATCATTTTTGCCACCGACCCCAAAGTTGATCCAAACTAGAGCTAGGAATATCCGGGGAAGCGTCTGTTTCAGAAACCTGGGGTCCTATGATCCGCCCCCCATAGTCCTCGTTCCCAACGCTTTGCTGCCCCCTTGTGGTCAGTGGGTAAGAACGACTGAGACGCGAGGATCTGAAATTGTGGTCGCTACAAGGAGGGACCCTTCAAACCCGGATTTTGCCAGCCAGCAACCTTACAATCAGGTACTGCTTCCCTTTCTTTCAAGGATACACCGGTCGCATGTTTTCCTTTCAGACTCCCACTTCTAAGCCTTTGTTCACGCATTTCCTCCCTTGGCCTCGGTGTCCTTTCCCTCTCTCTACACTCATCACTCATCTCTAAAAAATTTCCTGGAAGCCTTCCTGAATTCCCCAGTCGGCCTCACCTCCTCCAAGCTCCCCTCTGCGGCCCTATTTTTGTGTCCCAATTTTTCACCTTTTGTGGGACCCGCCGGTAGTGAGTTCTCTCCTTAGTGTCTGACCTTTCCATAGTAGAGGGACCACCGGCCACGTTTGTTGAACCCAATGGGGCTGAGCCAGTAATGGAGCCAGTCCCTGCTTCCCGAAAAGTCACCCAGCCACCTTGACCTTTTAAATTTTATTTTATTTTCTATTTTGAAACAGGGGGGTCTGGCTAAGTTGCTGAGACTGGCATTGAACTTGCGATCCTCCTGCCTCAGCCTCCTAAGTGTCTGGAATTACAGGCGTGTGCCACCTGGTCATTTTACGCCAGCACTTTTGTGGGTAGAGGTGCGAGGACATCTCCAACTAGACCCCGCCTGAGACCCCCCACCCCCAAACAGCTTTTGCTTTTCCTGTTGTCCTGACAAAAACGCCGTCACACGAGGTGTAGGGCCACTTTTTTTTTTTTTAATGGGGGCTGCGGAGGGCGGGTGCCCAGTTTGGGGGGCCGGCTAGTCACCTTTGGGCACGGCCTTCACCCTCATCTCGGCCAGTTTGTTGGTGAGGAAATCCCACTTGAAGCCGGCCGCAGGGTCCACCTCCCGAGGCTCCGGGCGCTCGTTGGCCTCCTCCCCGGCCTGGTCCTGGGGCTCCGGGTCCGCATTCGGGGTGGGTTCGGCGCCCCGCAGCATGGACGCGGCCGCGGTCTGCTGCTGATGCCACCTGCTGGCGAACGCATCCCAGAATCCCGGGCCGCGCGGCCCTGCCTCGGTGGCCCCCGCCTGCGAGGTGGGCTGCGCGGCCAGAGGGCTGCAGGAGAGGGGCAGGTGAGCGACAGGAGAGGGCCGGGTCCCCAGGGGCAGGCCAGGGGTCCCAGAAAGGAATAATGGACAGAGGCGGGAACCGAGTCGAGCAATGGGGCAGAGGGAGTCAGGAGGAAGTCACTTAGGGCCTGCGGGCAAGGGGAGGCACTGGGAAGGAGGGGCCTGGTTGGGTCGGGGGTCAGAGGATTAGGCCAGGGGTCTGGTGAGAAGAGACCAGAATCCCTGGAGAGAGCAGAGGGGGGGGGCTGTGAGAAGGGACCACGTGGCGGGGGCCGGAGGACCCAGGAGCAGCCGTCAGAGGAGGCCAAGAGGAGTGAGACCCAGACGTGGGGTGGGGGCAAGGGCTTGTGGAGCCCACTGGAGGGAATCGAGGTGGGACAGGGCAGAGAGGCTGGTTCTGGGATAAAGGAAAGGTGGGGCGACTAGGGACCTGGGAGAGACGGGTGGAGCAATCCCGAGGAAAGGGAAAATCCTAGACCCGAAGCTTAGGGGAGAGGGGGACTTGGGAGGTAGAGGGGAGATGTGGGGAAGGGGCTTCCTGGAAGGGGGTGAGGCTTGAAGTGGGAGCCTCAGGTCTGGGAAGAGCCTCCAGGACCAGGAGGGAGAGGGGGTGAGCTGGGGAGAGGAAAGAAAGCCCTGGGGCAGGTTGGATGGATGGGTCAGGAGGACCCTGGGGAAGAAAAGCAATCCCTGGGAGAGTGGACTGGGCTGGAGGAAAGGGCAGGCATGGAGTGGGTGCCGGTGCCAGAGCCAGAGCTGGGGAAAGAGGCTTGTGTCCAACCCCCTGCCCCTGAGCATCAAAGGCTTTCCAAAGCAGTGATTCCCAAACTAGTGTGCCTCTCAGTCCCCTGAGATCCTCGGGGCACTACCCATGCCTCCTGAATCTCAATCTGTGGAAGAGGGTTCCAGAATTTGTTGGTCACATGTTCCCTTGGAGGATGAGGGTTGTTCTGAACCACTCTCTCTTGTATGTTGCAAACACCTAGAGGACCTCTCAGTTAGGATTCTCAGGAGATGGCCTCTCCCCAGTGGTGGGGAAAGACAGCCCATAAACACCCTCCAACTTCAGTCCCAACTGCTGGTAAGTTCCTGAGATCTAACCCAAACTCCCAGATACACTGTGCGAGTGTCCTGCTGAGAAAAATGGAAGGTCAGCAGCTGCCCCTCCCCAGCCCTCCGTGGTTAGAAAGAGAAAGAGATCAGAAGGAAATGACATGACAGCAGAGAGACCCCAGGCCCTACTGGAACTGCCCACTGCGCGCGAACACACACACACACACACACATACTGGTCAGCACAGGGCTCTGGTGGCAGCAGCTTGTCCTCATCTTCTTTGTTAAACAGAGATGACATTGTCAGCCAGCCTTTCACCCCGACTCCCTGAACCTGGGAGAGAGGGGCTGGGAGTCAGGGAAGGGCCCGGCTCAGCCTCCCAGGGCTCCACAGCAGCCTCCAGGAGTTCCCCAGGGTTTGGGTGGAAGAAGGGAGAACTCACCCTGCGGGCCAGCTGTGACACGGGACTGAAGGCCTCCTCAGCAGGTTCTGCTGTCTCAGACTCCACTAAAGCTGGGTTCTCCCTCTGAGACACAAAACCCCCATAGAGCACGAGAGAAGCCCCAGAAAGTGGGACCTCCCTTCTCATGGCCAGCCTGGTACACACAGGCACCCCAACCCCACAGAACTTAACACACACCTGCATACCTCATACCTCCGTGAAGGCACGTGGGACTGTCCACAGGTACGTACACATGTATGATAAACCCTGCAGACACCCTTGAGCACACATACAGCCCACCCACAGACACATCTAGATGCCCCCAGAAACATGTGAGCAAGGGTATGGTGATGTAGACAGACATAGCTGGCCACGAGCATGCCCCCACAGGGCCGAAGCTCTTCCCCTGTATGTGCCACAGGGCACCTGCATGACTCATGAAGTCATGCCTCACACCCTTACACATGGACAACTGCAGACAGCTGCACAAAGGCCCATCCTCAGCACACAATCCTCTCCACCTACCCACGGACACCCAGACACACACATCACACAAGCAGAAGGCTGACAGGTGTGTGCTCCAGCCCAAACCCCAGCACCTGCAGGTACCTGGATCCAATTCGCAGTGCAGAAGCCCCCCACTGGGGCTTCCTCGTGGAGTCCCATCCCAGACTTCCACACAGGCCCTACTTTGGACACCAACCTGTCTAGACATACACTTATCCACACATACCCACCCCAAAGGACTAGTTCCTGTCCCTGCCACATCTGTTTGTTTGACTGCTACTTATAACAGTTTCCAGACATAGTTGTTTTTTTTTTTTTTTTTTTTTGGTTCTGGGGATTGAACTCAGGGGCACTTGACCACTGAGCCACATCCCCAGCCCTATTTTGTATTTATTTTAGAGACAGAGACTCAATGAGTTGCTTACCCCCTTAACATTAATGAAGCTGGCTTTGAACTGGAGATCCTTCTGGCTCAGCCTCCTGAGCCGCTGGGATTACAGGCGTGCGCCATCATGCCAGGAGACCTAGAGTTTTTTTTTGTTGTTGTTGTTGCTGTTTTGTTTTGTTTTGGACTAGAAATTGAACCCAGATGAGTTTTACCACACTGAGCCACATCCAAGCCACCCCCTTTATTTTTTATTTTGAGACAGGATCTCACTAAGTTGATAAGGACCTTGCTAAGTTGTTGAGGCTGGTTTTGAACTTGTGTTCTTGGGATTCTCCTGATTCAGCCTCCGAGTAGCTGGGATTACAGGCATGCAGAGCCTTTTTTTTTTTTTTTAAATCAGAACAAAGCATGATGTAAGTTTGGTTTTGATGTGACACTGCTACAATGACACAGTGCTCAGAGTTCAAGTGCCACACCCCTACCCCTAGTACCAGAGGGCTCACTACCTCTCAAGGCAAGCCATCCCACTTCTGCTTAGCTCTGCTTATTAGAAAGTTGTGTCAAGGGCTGGGGATGTGGCTCAAGCGGTAGCGCGCTCGCCTGGCATGCGTGCGACCTGGATTCGATCCTCAGCACCACATACAAAAAAAGACGTTATGTCCGCCGAAAACTAAAAAAAAAAATATTAAAATTCTCTCTCTCTCTCTTAAAAAGTAAAGTTAAATTGAAAAAAAGAAAGTTGTGTCAGGCCACATATACTGAGTGTGGCTACGGCCTACTGGTCTTAGAAGAATTTCTTCTATGCACAGCCCTTGGGGTCGATGGAGACAGTGGCCACTCCTCCCACAGCCACAGTTCTTCTTTCCTTCCTCAGTTTTCTTAGGTGTCCTGGCGTCTGACTGCACCATGCTGCTTGCTATCCCTGTATGTGCCTACAGTTACTGTACAAATGTGCCTCTCCCTCTCTTAGAGCCCATCTCTTGCTCCTCTTTATGTCCCTCCTGCTGCCCTGTCCATGCCCCACCCAGCAGGCATGAAGGGTACCCACCTCCTCTGCCAGGTCCTCCTCAGATTCCCCACTCAGGGTCTGTAGCACTTTGGACTTGTAGGTTTTCCAAAAGGCCTGGTTCATAGCTGCAAGGGAAAGGAGCCTGGCACCCTGGCACAGAAGGTGGTGACTCAGTGGGCACCTGTAGATCTGGCTCTGGGAACTTGGTGGGGCCAAGAGCCTGTCCCAGCGATCGGGTGACTTCATTAAAGATGCACCAACCTCCCTAATTGGCACAATGCCCAGCAGGTGAAACTGATCCAAAGGAGTCTGAGAAGGGGTTGACTTCTGTCAATGTAGTCTCTTGTCTTGACCCATATTGGCCACCAATACTAAAGACATCTCTCTGAAGAGGTCGCCTTCCTGGGTTTAGGAATATTTTAAGGTTGTCAATCTCTTGGAATGGCTTCAGACAAATTCTCTTTATTTGCATAGTCCTTAGGTTGATGACATACACTGGTGTCCCCATACCAGCTATGTCCTTGGCAGGGCCACTCTGTCCCCACTCAGCCTTCATGAACAGGAGTGGGAAGATCCTCGGACCCTGTCAGCACCTTGGGCTTACATTTCACTTCTTTGTCCCGGCCTGGAAACTTATTCTTTTCCCTAGGGATGCACGTGCCTCTCTGTCTCTGTTTCCTGGCAACAGGTTCCAAAGAGCTGGAGCCCCTGAATTATTGCTGAGCTTCTCTGGCACCGTCCAGTGGAGTTGTCTCTAGCCAGTCTGGTAGGCACCAGGACCCAATGAATGAGGAATGGCCCTCTGGCATTCGCCCCTCCTGTGAGCCTACAACATTTAGTTATCTCTGCCCTTGCTGTACGCCCTCTCCTGGGAAGTCCAGCCCAGAGAAAAGAGGCAGCAATAGGGGTCTTTCTGTGAGTGTCTGCTCTTGCGAGAGAGTTAAATGACGGGAGACCCGGGGGTGCTGGAGTCTTTGGGTAGGAACAGTGCCTCCTCTTGGATTTGCCTGGCGGACAGGCGGAGGACAGAGACTTAATAGAATAACTGGGAAGAGGCGAGAAGGGGTGAGGGCTTGCCAGGGGCTGCAGGTATCTCGGAAAGCCTTGTTGGAGCCGGGATCCCAAACTCAATCACTCATCATTTATTTATTTATTCGTTTTACATGCATTATCAGTGCCTTCCAGAGATGCTTAAAGCTTAGACCCTCCACCGTAGGGTTTAAGGTGTGGGAACCAGGAAAGGATGATGGCGCCGCGCCGGGGCGCGCAGTGCAGCAGGACCCGCCCGGAACCCCACAGGCGCACGTCGCTCCCCGCCCTCCCCAGCTACGCGAGGCCTCCCGCCCGTGGGAAAGCAGGCTCCGTCACGCCCGTCCGCCGCCGCCTGGGGGCGCTAAAGTCGCGGACCGTGCGAGTGACGTCATCAGAAACAGTCGGGCAGGTCCGGCCCCGCCCCCGGGCGTCTCGTGACGTCATTGAGCTTTAGGGAAGCGCGTACACGTGCGGCCCCCTCTCTGCTCCCGGCCTTCTTGTCCCGCTGTCACTGGCCATGGGTCGCTCCCGCCGCACAGGCGCGCACCGAGCGCACTCCTTAGCCCGCCAGATGAAGGCTAAGCGGCGGCGACCCGACCTGGATGAGATTCACCGCGAGCTGCGGCCGCAGGGTCCGGCACCGGCAAAGCCCAACCGGAACACAGAGCCCGACCCTGACCTGCCGGGGGGCGGCCTGCATCGCTGTCTGGCCTGCGGGTGAGTCGCGGCCGAGGCCAGCGTGGGGCGAGAGAGGGTCTGTTGTACTGGCTGGGAGCTGTGAGGGCCGGGCCACGCAGGATCTCCTCTCTGGACCAGTGGGTCAGCTCCTCTCCCATCCATCCCTCCAGCCCCGGAGCCTGGCGTCGGGGAATGAGCTAGGGTCAGGGAGACAGGCGTACCTGAGAAGCATCACCTCCTCAGTCTTCTCACCCTCTCCTTGCAGGAGGTACTTTGTCGATTCCGCCAACCTGAAGACCCACTTCCGATCCAAAGACCACAAGAAAAGGTATGAAGGAGTAAGAAGAGTGTTGATGCGTGGGTGTGGGGCATGCAGGGCATGCAGGGCATGCTGGGCATGCACTTGGTAAGCTCCCAACTCATGTTCTTCTTTTTCCCCAGGCTGAAGCAGCTGAGCATCGAGCCCTACAGTCAGGAAGAGGCAGAGAGGGCAGCGGGCATGGGTTCCTATGTGCCTCCCCGGCAACTGGCAGTGCCCACAGAAGTGTCCACTGAAGTCCCTGAGATGGACACATCTGCATGACAAGACCTGAGGATTCAGGGCAGAGGAGCTGCCTATGGACAGTGGTGTAAGGGCTAGGCTGGGAGAGAGTGTGCCAGTCTCTTTGGATTCTGGGTTTGGCCTCCTCTGGGTGCCTCTCCCCCAATAAAGGAACTGGACAAAGGGCTTACCTCTGATTCTAACTTCCAGGCCACATCTGGCTGCAAAGTTAGGAGTCCTCAGCTACCTTCTACATACAAGGCCCAGGTGTCTACTCCTTACTTGGTCCAGCTTTGGAATCTACATCCCTTCCCTCCTGGAGTCTTAGCATCTCACCTGGACCCCAGATGCAGTGTGAAGTGGGGGAGTAGGATAAGATTTATTCTATTCTGCTTCCAATGAGGGCAAGGACTGATTCCTAGAAAAGGAGGTTTTGAGACTGCAGTCTCCTCCTGAGTCACCCACCTCCAAAGCCCAGGTGAGAGGCGGCCTGCTTTGTCATGGGGCCTGTGCTGGCGGCTGCTGTTGCCCCACCATCTTCCAGACGGCATAGCAGGAGCCGCCCAGCCCGAGGACAGCCAGCAGCGTAGCCACAACCCCAGCCAGCGGACTCCGGGGCTCTGCCTTCAGCTTTCCGGCTACCTGCATCTAGGGTGAAGGTGTAGCTGAGGGGTCGATGGAGACTTCTAGGCAGGCAGAAGCAGGGACGGTGCAGCTGAGTGAGGGCAGTACGGGCACCATTGCCGCCCCAGGGAGATTCCACCCCTGTCCCTCTCGCTTCACTGCCCATCTGGGTTCTGGCTAGTCAGGCGGCAGGGAACGTGACAGCCTGGCTATTGGGGGTATCAAGGGGAACTGTTGGGAAAAAGGGGTCAGTGGTGCCAGAAACCATCAGTTAGGAGTACTTACCTGTAGTACCCGGAAGTAGCCTGGGGTCAGGCGTCGAAATCGCATGGTGGGAGCCACCGATCTCCTAGGCAGCCTGAGGGATGCTAGCAAACATGAAGACCAGTGGTGTTCTTGGTACCAAGAAGTGGAAATGAGGGTACAAGGGTCTCTGACCTCCCATATGCACAAAAGCCATGCCCTCAGAGGATGCTCACCCGTGACTGGCCTGCTGCGATCTGGCAGGGGGAGGGACCGCTGGATCTTTAAATCTGGTCCCTTCCCCCACTGACTGCCATCCTGCCAGCCTTGGAAGCAGCTGTCAGGAGAGATCAGCATCAGGCCTGAGCAGCACCTCCCCCATTCACCAGGGAGGCCAGGCCAGATTGGCAGGAGTAGCCTTGGCTGCCAGTGCTCAGGAATCCCAGGCCCGGGCAGGTACTGGGCAGGTTTCCCTCAGCTCTGGTCCAGACCCTATCCCTACCTCAGATAATAGATGCCACCAATCAGGAGCGACAGGGTACATTATTAGTCTTTCTTTTAACAGCAGTACATCTTTTCTATTTGGTTTCTATATGATCAACCATATACAAATGTGCCCTCTTCCTTGGAAGGAGGGCACATTTCACCTCCTTCTTCAAGACAAAGTTCCTGCAAGGACTTCCCTATCCTCAGCTTGGGAACAATAATAAAAAGATCTGTATATATTGATTGAGCTCTCCACAGTATGTTAAAATAGTAAACTGAGGCATGTCAGTCCATGCCTGTAATCCCAGGGATTCAGGAGGCTGAGGCAGGAGGATCTTAAGTTTAAGGCCAGCCTCAGCAACTTTGTGAGGTCCTTAGCAATTTAGCAGGACCCTGTCTCAAAAACAAAAAATAAAAAGGGCTTGGGATTTAGCCCAGTGGTAAGTAAAGTGCCCCTGGGTTGAATTCCAAATACCAAAAAAAAGAAAGAAAAAAAATTGGACTGGGTTCTCCACCTCCGCCTGGTGCCAACTCAGGATAAGGATTTGATGACAGGATGGTGGAGACAAATATGTCTACCACCCTGTACGAAGGCTCTGTTAGAGTTTACTGGGCTCACCCAGAGTGTCCTGGGGTGGCTGTTGTATAAAGAGGCAAAAATGTTAAAGGAGGATATAGCATGGCCCTAGGGACATAGACATCACAGGGCAGGAAGACAGTAGGTAAAGGACAAAGCCAGAGAAGTGAGGGGAGGGCCACAAATTCTGAACCTACTCATTCACAAGTGGAAGGAGGCAAGGCCTGTGGGGATCTGTCCCCCTTGAAGGAAGTAGCTGCCATTCCCTTCTTGCTGATACCAAATGTGAAGGTGGGAGGGGGTCCTCAGAGCTGGCCAAGTTCCAGAGAGACTGGAGATCTCAATTTGGATATGAAATTATTCAATGAGGACAACTAACACACATGCTACACTGCACGGGCCTTCCTTGGGTCCACTGGAATTCAGACTGTGAGCTACAGGTAGGATATCTACAGGCTTTGAAGTTCTGGGTGTCGGCACTAAAGATAGAGATCTTTTTAAAATTATATATATATACACACACACACACACACACACATCATACTGGGGATTGAACCTACTATCTTTCTTATCCCCGCATCCCCTCCCCTCTCCTGCTTTACTTCCCTCTGCCTAATCTAAGGTAATGCTATTCTTCTCTAGTGCCCCCTCCCCACATTGTGAACTAGCATCCGCATATTAAAGAAAACATTCGGGGATTGGGCTGATTTTGCTTAGCATGATATTCTCTATTCATTTACTGGCAAATGCCATAATTTCACTCTTCTTTAAAGCTGAGTAATATTCCATTGAGTATATATACCACATTTTCTTTGTCCATTCATCTATTGAAGGACACCTAGGTTGGTTCCATAGTTTAGTTAATGTGAATTGAGCTGCTATAAACATTGACATAGCTGCATTACTGTAGTATGCTGATTCTCAGCCTTTTTAAAATCTATTTATTTGTTTCTCACTTTGTGACTGAGTTTCAGTTGTTGAAGGCCTCAGTATATTGCTGAGGCTGACCTTGAACCTGTGATCTTCCTGCCTCAACCTTGTGAGTTATAGAAATTACAGGCACATGCCATGGCAACCAAGCCCAAGATAGAGATTTTGAAGGCAGCACAGCCAGAGGCAGGCTCTAGGAAGCCCTCCAGCCCCCTTCCCACAGAATTACAGCAATAACAATTAAAATCTACCACATGGGATAGATTTAAAACTATTTAAAGGATGTTTTCACACCTCTACTGTCTAAGTGTCCCCCCTTTAAAAGCAGAAAACAGGTACAGCTGGGTGCAGTGGTGCTGTCCTATAGTCCTAGTAGCTCAGAAGGCTGAGGCAGGAGGATGACAAACCAGCCTCAGCAATTTAGCAAGCCCCTAAGCAACTTAGTAAGGCCCTGTCTCAAAATATATAAAGGTCTGGGGATGTGGCTCAGCAGTTAAGTGCAGCTGGGTTCAATCCCTAGTACCACTTCCCACCCCCAGAAGAAAAGAAACAGGTACAGAGAATTGTAGAAGTTGGACTCATTTATGCTGCACCTGAGCCTGGAACTTATTCTGCTTCCAAAGTCCTAGGAGTCTCCTGGCTTGAAATGGTGAATACTTAGTATTAATGATGATGAATACTTAGTGTGTACCAGACATTTTTCTTACATGAAGGCTTTTATCTGGGCTTCAGAATTAAGGGGATTAAAAAAAAGGAATTAAGGGGAATTCATAAAGTTGGGTGGTAAAGAAATATATCTATATATTTATTTTCACTAATCTCTAACCAAAATTTGTCTTTTTTTTTTTTTTTTTGTACTGGAGATTTAGTCTAGGGGCAATAATTTACCACTAAGCTATATCCCCAGCCCTCTAAAATGGCAAAGGCTGGCGGCAAATTTGCAGTCCTCCTGTCTCAACCTCTCAAATTGCTGGAATTACAGACATGTACCTCCAAGCCTGCTTTACCAATTCCTTTTATGTGGATTAAAGTAGTAACATTATCTTTGGCTTTGTCATCAACAGAAATCCCATATTTTCATATCAAATTGTAGTTATTGAAATATTTATGTTCACAACTGTTTCACAATCATGGTAATTATTAACCCACTGTTAAACCAGATCTGATGGCACTCTCTATTTCAGACCCTTCTTTGATATAGCAGCCACTCATTGGGCACCTACCAATGATAATTGGCAGTTCAGAGACCAAATGGTGAATCCACCTGTTCTCATGCT